TTTTTTTAGTCTCTATTTCATTTATTTCTGCTCTGATCTTTATGATTTCTTTCCTTCTACTAACTTTGGGTTCTATTTATTGTTCTTTTCCTAGTTCCTCTAGGTGTAAGGGTAGGTTGTTTATTTGAGATTTTTCTTTTGTCTTGTGTCTTTTAACACTCCTACTAGCTTTATAAGTGGTTGACCTACTGGCCTTACTGCATGTTTGTCTTTACCGATGAGATTTTTCCTTTCATAATTTTTCATATTTCTAGTTGTGGCCTTTTCTTCCTGCTTAGAAAAGTCCCCTTAACATTTCTTGTAAAACTAGTTTAGTGGTGCTGGGCTCTTCTAGCTTCTGCTTGTCAAAACTCTTGCTCTCTCCTTCTAATTTGAAAGATAATCTTGGGTAGAGTATTGGTTGTAAGTTTTTTCTTTCACCACTTTGAATACATTGTTCCACTCGCTTCTGGCCTACAAAGTTTCTGTTGAAAAGTCAGCTGATTGTCTTGTGGGAGTTCCCTGGTATGTAACTGGTTGCTTTTCTCTTGCTGCTTTTAAGATTCTCTCTTTATCTTTAATTTTTGCCATTTTAATTATAATGTATCTTAGCATGGACCTCTTTGGGTCCATCTTACTAGGGACTCTCTGTGCTTCCTGAACCTGGGTGTTTGTTTCCTTCCCCAGGTTAGGGCTGTTTTCAGTTGTTATTTCTTCAGATATGTCCTCTGACCCTTTCTCTCTCTCTCTTCTCCTTCTGGGACCCCTATAGTGTAAATGTTAGTATGCTTGATATAGTCCTAGAGGTCTCTTAAACTATCCTCATTTTTAAAAATTCTTTTTCTTTCTTCTGTTCAGCTTGGGTAATTTCCACTACTCTGTCTTCCAGATCACTGATCTGTTCTTCTGTATAATTTACTCTACTGCTGATTCCTTTTAGTGTGTTTTATTTCAATGATTGTATTCTTCAGTTCTTTTGTGTTCTTTTTTATACTTTGTAACTCTTTATTGAAATTCTGTGTTCATCCTTTCTTCTCCTGAGTTTTGTAAGTATCTTTATGATTGTTACCTCAAACCCATTATGGGGTAGATTGTTTATCTCCACTTCGTTTAGTTCTTTTTCTAAGGTTATGTCTTGTTCCTTCATTTGGCACATATTCCTCTGTTGCCTCACTTTTTCCCCAATATTCTGTGCTTATTTCTGTGTGTTAGGTAGGTCGGTTACATTTCCAAATCTTGGAAAAGTGGCCTTATGTAGGAGATGTCCTATAGGGCCCAGCAGCAAGCTCCCCTTTGGTCACCAGAGCTGCATGCTCTAGGAGTGCCCCCTATATGGGCTGCATGTGCCCTTTTGTTGTGGTGAGGCTAACTATTGTGGGCACGCTGGTAGGTGGGGCTGGCCCCTGGCCCAGTTGCCTGCAAGACCATGCCTTATGTGATGGCTGTGGGGCCCCTGGAGGACAGGGTAGGCTTCTTGCATGGTTGGCTGTGTAGCCCAGAGGGGTGTGGATCTGCTGCTGGCCCAGTCGTGGGTCTCTGCATGACTGTCTGTCTGCCCAGCGGGTGGGGTGGCCTGGGGCCTGGTACCAGCCTACTGGTGGGCAGGGCTGTGTCCCCAACACTAATATGCTAGAGGGAGGATTCCAGAATGGTGCTTGCCAGTGCCAGTGTTATTGGGGTAGAACAAGCTCCCCAAAATGGCTGCTGTCAGCATCTCTGTCCCCAGGGGGAGTCCCAGTTGCGTGCTGCCTCTCTGGGAGGCTCTCCAAGATCAGCAAGTATGTCTGACACAGGCTCCTTTCAAACTACCACCTCTGCACTGGTCTCAGAATATGTAAGATTTTGTGCACATCCTTTAAAAGCAGAGTCTCTGTTTCCTACGGCCCTCTGGCTATCCTGAATGTAAACCCTGCTGGTTTTCAAAACCAGACATTTTGGGGGCTTTTCATCCCTGTGCAGGACCCCTGGGCTGGGGAATCCAATGTAAGGCTCATACGCCTTGTTCCTCGAGGAGAATCCCTATGATTGTGATATTCACCTCATTTGTGGGTTGCCAACCTGGGGGTGTGGGTCTTGACTCTACTGCATCTGTACCCTTCCTACTCATCTCATTGTGATTCTTTCTTTATGTCTTTAGTTGTGGAAAAATCTGTTCTGCTAGTCTTCAGGTCATTCTGATAGTTTGTTGCTCTGTAAGAAAGTGTAATTTTGGTGTGTCTGTAAAAGGAGGTGGGTTCAGGGTCTTCCTACTCCACCATCTTGCCACCTCCCTCGTTAACATTTTCTGGCATGCTCTGGGTAAGATATGCACTTGTGGATATCAATGAAGCAAAGGAACAACCTCAGAGGGAATCGTTGGAAGCCAGTATTCACAGGCGGTGCAATGGATGAAGCAGTGTCACGAGTAATGCCATGACCATCAATAAATGAATGGGGTTAGGAAATGCAGAGGCAAGAAGATCTATGTTGTCTTGAAATGAACAGGTTGTGAAATGCCACCGCATTGTGAATAAGAGCAGCACTGCTACCCTCATCTTGCTGTATGAGATACAAAATCAGCCAGGAATGGTGCATTTGACAATAAAAAGCAGGACCTGAACAGGAAGAGAGGACCTGGACATCACAAAGACTCTTCAGGTGCACTGATTGGACACTGAACATATACATAATTACCTCTTCTCTGTCCATTATTCTAAATCTTCATTGATAAATCACTACCTTACATGGGTCCCTGAATTTGAAAATACAAGTTTTAATGAAATTGTGTATATAGACAGGGACCCTGCAAAAAATATCTACTGGGGCCCCATTCACCATAAGGGCAACCCTGATCTAGAAGTTGGGGTTTTCTGAGTGTCAGGGGCAGAAGGGCAGGGGGATAAGGAAGCTGACCATGTCAGATGGCTTAGGTAATTGGGTTGAGAAGGAAGTGAAGGTGGAATGGACCTTAAAAATTAGGGAAACATGTATGACATGTATGTGTCTTGTATGTGGTGTGTGTGTGTCAAAGGGAAATAACACTGGATCAAATGGCAAGGACAGTCTCACTGGCCTCCCCAACCCTGCTGAAATGTGGGACTCAGGGGGAATAGAGGTGTGGAAGCGAAGGTGGGAAGCTGGAGAGTGCTGGGGGGAGGTAGTTATAAGTGGAAGTGTCTTGGATGTGATAGAGGGTCTCTGGGGATGAGTTGGTCAAGGTGCTATGGGGCAAGGATTGTGGATGGATCCTCCTGATGGACCCTGGAGTGACCCGGGGGCTTTGAGGCAGACGGCAGGGAGGTCAGCAGGGAAACAGGAGAAACCTGAGAAGTATATGGTGGGAGCAGGTCTCTTAAGGAGAGGGTTGACTTGGTGTGGGGCTGAGTTGGGAGTCAGGGAACGAGAGCTCTCCACCAGGGGTTGCTTGCTTGGGGGCTGGCATCCCAGGGTTGAGCCAGCTTCAGGAGGCCAGCTCTTCTCCCCACCTTGGTGTCCCCATACCTAGCTCAGGACCTGGCTAGAGGGCCTTGATACGTGCTCGTTGAAGGCTTGGGAGTTTTGTCCCTGGGTTCAGTGGGAGGAACCAGGGGAGGGGGCAGTGGTCGGGGAGAGGAAGCTCAGAGCGACCTGGGGAGGAACTGGCTTTGGGGAGGTGAGTGCGAGGACCCGGAAGTCTGCTGGGCTGAGCTTCCAAAAGGAACTTCATTTGAGCCCAGAGAGGGCCCGAAGCAGGGTGGCCATGCCTTGACCGTGCTGCCCCCCATGCTGGAGGGGACCCCTGAGATGACCCCTCTATGGGAGCAGCCCACCCCTGGGGCCCCCTTAATGGGCAGAAGTTCCCGGCCTCAGGTCTGAGTTAGCCACCTTCCTTACTTCCTCCCCCCACTGCTCTTCCCTGAGGCGGGAGGTGAGGCCGGTCCAGGATTCAGTCCACCTGAGTCACAGGCCTTTGCTTTGATTTTCAGCATCAAGTGTTGGGAGGGCTGCTGCAGGTGGCAGGGGCTGGGGGCTCCTGGCACACCTGAGCTCCTCCAGGGGCTGCCCTCCTTAAGGCAAAGACGAGGTAACCGGGGCTGAGAGAGAGAAGAAACCCAGCCAGCTCCTGCAGCTCCAATGCAGAAGAACCGGATTCGAATGGAGGCTTGCCTGGCCCGGGCCCCTGCACGCGGCTTCTCTTGTCATGTTGGGGGGCTGAGGGCTGAGGCGGGACGGGGTGGCCCTGTGCAATAGCTGGGCACCTGCCCCTTCACCCTGGTGCACTGACCTGAGGACTGAGGACACCCCGCCTGTGGCCCAAGCGGGGTGTTCACTTTAGAGCCCTCAGAGTCTGTTGGTCCAGGATGGTGGCTCCCAGCCCCGCAGAAGGCAGCTCCCCTTTGAGCTGTGGGCAAAGGCAGCCATGCCCGGCCACCTCCAACTCTGCTGAGATGCGGGACTCAGGAAGGAACATCATACTTGCTAGGTGAACAGCTTGCCCCATGGGGATGTGTGAGTTTCCCGAGTGTCCCAGAAAGACCCAGAGGTGAAAACCCAGTCCCCCGCCTCACCCTGCAAAAGGTCCACGTCCCGAGCCCTCCACGCTCCCTCTGCGTGTCTCTAAGCTGGGCTGCAGGGTCAGAATGCCCTGCCCTGGAGAAGGGTCGCCATGGGTTCCTTCACACCCACTGGCCCTGGGGATAAGTGTAAATGTGTCACGGAGCTGTCACCTGGGCCCTGGGAGCCCTCGGGCAGTGTCGCCTAAGGTCCTCTCAGTGCCCAGGGCTGAATAGTGCCTGGGTGGCCATGAGTCTCCAATATGGGGAGGGGGGCTCGGCTGGACCCCTCCCCCCAGTTTTGCTCGGCCCTGGGGCAGGCCTTAGTCCCAGCGGAGAAGCTCTGCCCTGTGAGCATCTGTTCCATGGGCACGTTGGAGGGAGGGGACGGGGAGTTAAAAAGCTCTGGGGTCGGGCAGAGGGCTGAGGCTGATGTCCAGGGCGTGGCCACCCCACGGGGGCATTGGGACGGGCCTCGGAATGGCCGCTGGCTTGGCCGTGCTCCTTCAGAAGCTGGCCGTGAACCTCCTGACCCCAGAGGAGCTGACAGTTCCCCCAGGAGGACTTGAGCTGATGCTCGCCCCTCTGGGGACTGAGACCCATTAAAGGAAAGAGACAGGGCGCGGGGCGGGGGGGGGGGGGGGGAGAAGGAACGGGCAGCAGGCGGGGGGCGGGCGGGCGCGCTGGGAAGGTGGAGGACCTCTCTCGCTTGGTCTCTGCAATGAGGAAGTTCTCTGCTGCTCGTTTCCTTTCCCTTGCCGAGTGCCTGAAACAGGAAGTCGGTCAGTGAGCGGGTGGCAGCAGCCGGGGCGGCCGAGAGGGGACCGACGGCGGGTCGCGGTGCAGGGGCCCAGCTCCCCTTGGCTGTGCTGGTCCTGCGGGGAGGGCGCCGGCCCGGCCCGGGGAGACCCACACCCGCCATGGTCCCCTGCTGGAACCATGGCAACATCACCCGCTCCAAGGCCGAGGAGCTGCTCTCCAGGACCGGCAAGGACGGGAGCTTCCTCGTGCGCGCCAGCGAGTCCGTCTCCCGGGCGTACGCGCTCTGCGTGCTGTGAGTACCGGGCCCTGCCCACCCCTGCTCCTCCGCACTGGCCTGGCCTCTCCTGCCCAGGCACGGAGGTGATGGAGGTGCCACTCAGTAGAGGGGAAGCCAGCTCTGGGCTTAGCCAAGGGCCCGGCTCTGGGATGTGTTGTTTTTATGTCGAGTGACCTTGCACACACCCCGGGTTTGTTGGTGGGTCCAGCTGAGGCCCATTGTGGACCTGCTCGGCCCTGGAGTTCAGGTTTTGCAGGGCTGGAGCCCTCCAGGGCCAGCCTGGGGCCTGGTCACTCGCCCCAGCTACCGGGGAGCCGTGGGGTCAGGGGCTTTCTTGGGGTTCCAGGGTCCAAGAGAAGGGGGTCCGGGCTCTCTGAGACAGGCAGAAGCTCGGGGCTCCGTGGTGGTGGGTGTGTTAGAAAGCAGCTCTGTCAGTTCAGGTGCTGGTCAAAGTATGCCCAGTTCGGAAACCCTCCTGGAAGAACAGAAGTGGCAAGAGGGGACCCTTCCTGTGCCAGGCTTTGGGCCTTTGGAGGAAGCCATCGTTTGGGGAGCCATGAATAAGGGTGTGGGGGGGGGTCACTCAAGAAAGGATTTTCAGTTCACCCAGAAGTTGTATTTGGGGCCCTTGGAGCAGAGGAAGTCACATCACCGACAGCAGGAGCCTCTTCTGTCCCCTCCTCAGCCCTTGGGTCTGTCCCCACCTGTCCCCACCTGTTCGGGCCTCTCTGCCACCATCAGCTCTCTCCGCTCCCCCTCTCGGGGATGTGGCTGAATGCGCCAGTTGGCCTAAAATCGGGAACCGGCCACTTGCTGAAGTTTCCTTTTTAAAACACCCTTCTCAACCAATGTCTGAAGGAGGCTCTCGGCCCTGCAGCCTTGCGGTCTAACCATCCCCACTGGGGCCTCGGGCAGTGCCGGGCATGGGGGGGGCAGGGTGTGTGTCCACCTGCACCTGTCAGGTCCTGCCCCTGGTCTCACAGACGGGTCCCTCTGAGCAGGCAGGCCTTGCTGCTGTCCACACAGGAGGGGAAGTGGGTCATGGACACGGGCCTTGTTTGGAGCGTTGAGTCTGAGCATTTGTGCGTCGAGCTGTTTCATCCTCACGACAACCTGAAGTGCAGGCCCTTTTGTTGCCCCGCTTTGCAGATGAGGAAATTGAGGCTCAGACGGGTTAACCGAGTGATGACAGCCAAAGCCAAGGACATCTGCCCCCAGAGGCTGCACCCAGACAACCAGACTGCTGCCACCCCACTCCTGTGCCCGGCAAGCCGGGTGTGAGCATGGGTTCCGGGTGGCAGCAAGAGAAGCCAGGGCGTTTACAAGGGCGGCTGGGAGCATTTAGAAATTAACACAGGCTCTCAGGGGTCGCCCGGCCCGAGCGCTGACTGCGTCAGAGCCCCTGCCCCCAAGGTCGGCTTCCTGGGCCCCCAGTTCTCACACCCCAGGGGAAGCGAAGCAGACCCAGGTTTCCCCGCAGGCACAGCCCCTGTGGGGACCAGTTGACGGGGCTGTAGAAATAGTGAGGAGATTCTGATCTGTCTGCACTCGGCCCACGTGAATCTCTCCCCTCCCCTGGGTGTCTCGAGAACTTCCAGGCTCCAGCTCGCTAACCTTCACAGCAGCCCTTTGACCAGGGAGCTGTGGTGGTGCTCAGGTTACAGATTGGAACGTGGGTCTCTCTGACTCCAAACTGGGAGCCTTGTAACAAGCCAGAGCTGGGAGAGGCCTTGGAACCTCTAGTCCCACCACCCCTGACTTTACAGGTGGGCACACCTCAGAGAGCTTGAGGCCTTTGTCCACACGTCCCTGCTGGCCGGTGGCAACCTGGGATCCAGAATGGTGTACAGTATTCGTTCCTCCACCTTGCCTCTCCTCCCCTCCCCTCCCCTGCACTGGGTTACTCTTGGAGCCTCGGCCAATGTGCCTCTTAGGGAGGGTCCCCGCGGTCCCTGCAATGTCCATCATCCTCTTAGCCCAGGGCTGGGCTTCTTGTCAGTCTCCCATCCCCAAGGCCCCTTTAGCTCCAGACACCAGGGCTTGGAGCCCTCCCCAGTGAGTCCAGCCGTGAGGCCAGCCTCTAAGCCCAGGCCCAGGGGTCCCCTTCCTCCTCCGCTCTGTGGGGGAAGCCACCCTTCCTGCAAGGTCAGGAAGCCCTGTAGGCTGTGGGATACCACGAGCCACCGAACCTTCCAAAACCCTGGGAGACCTAATTTTGCCATCACCCATGATGTTGCCCATTAAAGAGGTTTAAAAACGAAAAACTAGCTGAGTGACAACTACCTGCCACCTTTCAGCAGCTCATTTCATGAAAGAGAGTGTCCTTTAACACCAAACAGGCAGGAAGAACGTGCTCTTTAAAAATAAATAAATGAATGAAGCCAAAAACCAGTCCTTTAAATCAAACAGGTTTAACTTCCTGAAAAACACCCCCTAGCCCGGCCCTATCCTTGGTTTTCTCTGTTCCTGGGATGGTGAAAAGCTCGCCCCACGCCCTCCTGGCCCACGGCCAGTGGTGGGAACCCCGACGGGTTTCACGAGCGTGACTTTCACAAGCATCAGGCTTTACCCTCTGTGCTCTCTCTGGAAGTTGCTGGGAGTGCAGGAGCCCGAGTGGGGCAGCTGTGGTGTCAGGGCCTTTTAACGACCCTGTTCCAAAGGGAGCCAGGAAGCCTCCAAGACTGGCCCTTCTGCTCTAGAAATCTCCATATGGGGAAAGACCTCAGGGCCCAGGGTGCCCAGACCTGTCCTGCCTGGACCCCAGTGGCTGGAGCATCTTCCCAGCCCCTCTCGTGAGTGAGGGCATGGCAGGGCCGTTTGGAGCTCCAGGAACTGAGGGCAGCTTCCTCAGGAGTGGCCTTCATGCTCAGGAAAGAAGACAGGATTTGACTATTTAAATGGAACTAGGGAGGGGGTGAGAGACACTAAAAGACAAGGCTGCGATTCAGCGTGGCCCACGTGACCGAGGAGTATACATTCACCCTGGGCCTAGCAAACCCACACTTCCTCTCAGGAGGTCAGCCCTGCCACCTGCCACTGGGCAGGAAAGTGCAGATCTGTCCTCAGCAACTCAGAAAGCCCTGCTTTAGGGGGATCCCGAGGCCCATCTCGGGACGCAGAGAGCTGGAGGAGGAAGATCCCAGGAGCTGACCACATGGAATTGAGTCCATGTCTGCCTTCTTGCAGCAAGGGCTTGAGAACGTGATGGGCAGAGGGCTCCTAAGTCATGCTCACCTGGCCCCACTCAGACCAGCCAGCAGAGTCGGCCCTGCTCTAGGAAGGCCAGGGGGGCTTCTTGAGGGGGCCGTCCGGCCCCTCTTCTATGGAGGATGCTAAGAGAGGCTGTCAAGCTTGTGTCCTCCTCTCCTGCCAGGACTGTGCTTCCACGTAGGGACCAGCTCACCTGTCAGGTGCTTTACGCTTCAGAGAAGAGATATGCCTTTGGGGATGGGGGTTCCTCAAGGTGAGAGGTCACGGGCCAGCTGGGCCAACCTCTCCTTGCCCTAGCTGTGCAGGCAGAACTAGAACAATGGCTCAGTGGTGTTGGGGATACACCTCCCTCTCTGTAAGAGCAGCCCGGGCCCTGAGAGCAAGCCTATATACAACTGGGTCCATCAGCCACCATCCAGGATGGAGCTGCCTAGTCGGGTGGCATTCCCACCAAACCACACCAGAGAGAGTTGGCTTCCCTCCCAGGGGAGGGGGCAGATGCATGCTGTCTGTGACTCAGAAACCAATGCCGGTCCAGCCAGCTGTGGCGGGGATGGTGTCTTGGTTCCCCTCAGCACCTGGCCTTTCGTGAGCTTCCCAGGCAGACCTATGACCTCCTTCCCAGGGACAGCACACCAGGCAGCCTGGACTTGGTAGCCTTGTGAGCACAGCCAGAAAGGTGAAGAAGCACCAGGAGGACATTTAGTCACCAAAAGTGCCCTCAGAGAAGGCATTCTACTTGTTAGGAAGAATGTGGTGGCCCACTTGAGGTAAAGGCAGGCCACGAGGCTTGCTGTACAAACCAAAGGTAGTTGCTAATCTGTTCTGCCTAAAAATAACAGCAAAAGACTTAAAAGGGCACCTGTGTGCTGGGTTCTGTTCTAAGCTCTTTGCACATATTAACTCACTCACTGTCCACAGTGGCCTTTGGAGGAAGTGTTATTATCCCCACTTTACGGATGCGGAAACTGAGGCCCAAGATGTTAGGTAACATGCTGTGTTTACAGTACTAATTAATGGCAGGGCCAGGACTTGAACTCGCTGTTCTTGGGAGGGAGAAAGAGAAGCCAGCAAGTCTGGGTGTGTGTAGGAGATCCCTGGTGATGGAGCCACAGAGAAGGGACTCGGAGGGCAGAAGTGTCCAGAAGAGGTGTAAAGCCATTTACTGCAGTGTGAATGGGTGTGATGTAATCCACCTTCCTCCAATCCCCTTTCAAAGTTTAGTAAAGTTTACACTGATCGTGAATTACTTTTGTGCAAATGCAAAGGAAAACACTGTTTTTCCTAGCTGGTATTGACAAAGTGGGGGGAAAATGCTGGCCCAGGCAGTAGTCAGAGCTGGAGGACCTCAGCTCTT